GATTTGGATAACAGAATGATTTATTATACAACGCTGCATATTTAAAATTAAGCAAAAATGCAACGTAAATTTGACGCTGATTTTTAACTAAAACTCTATCGACTCCGATCACGATCGGACACGGATAAACTATAGATTCGACGACGATCAGACACATTCAAAAGGGGAAAAGAAGGTGGGTTATTAATTAATTAATTAGTTATTATATATAATTCTTCTGCCTTTGCCACTCAAGTGTGACAATTATCATAAGAAAAGATCTAAAAATTTGTTTCAGCAGTAACAAAAGTTTACCGACAACTAGCCCTCCTACTAGGACCCATTTGCCAGTCACCCTCAAAAGGGCCACATATCTGGCCTCTGTAACTATTTGAACAATAAATGATTGTATTAAAGAAATGACGCTATTATTAATGTTAGCACAATCGCTAAGTGTGACATTATCAGTGTCCGCTCATTTGAGGTTAATTAAAATTCAAACATTATTCACTTAAATTAATACAAAATAACGTACAAAACGAGCGGCTGCTAAGAAACTGAGGACTCTCCTCGACATTAGACAGCGAAGAAGGTGTCGATTCATTGCCTTCTCTAAAATTCGAAGTTCATTCTGACTGCACCACGTCGAGTTGGAACTGGAACTGGGTAAAAGAAATATCAGCAAATTGGTGTATAAAGCTTTTATGAAATATCATCTCAAAGTAGTTGCAAATATTCTTTTTCATTTTCTATGAAATCATTGTCCTGAGTCTTTTGTTATTGTTGTACAGATTTTATACCACAGATGATTTAATAAAGTGTGAAAAATACTAAAACTAATATTAATCATCTTGATATCTCCTTCTCGAATATAGTCATTTTTCCGATGCTTGAATTAAACAAGCAAGTAATTCCTGCATGCTATAACCAGCTAGATCTCTGGAACAAATCTAATTATCTTTTAACAGTTTACGAATTATATCGAATTTTAGATTAATTGTTTTGATTACGGAATAGCAAGTGAGGATTGTCTGCCTAAGTAGAAGGCTTTCTTGAATGTATTTTTAAAGAAAAGCAAATCACATTGATATAACACACGGGCAAAACAACGAAAATCATGAAACCAATGAATTATCCAGGATTGGAACCCAGGTGAAATATCATTTTTCATACGTCTTATCCCTCTTCACACTGGTGGGCGGATTGAATATTCAATATATAGATTTAAAAAAAACTAGAGCTACTGCTTTAACATTTGATAATGAGCCTGTGACATAGCTTATGAAACTATAATAGGTTAAATACATATATAGATATAGATTTTATTTAAACTAAACTTTTTCTGTTTCCTTAAAGTAAGATTTACATAATTTTTTTCAATTAATTTTTCGATACCTAGTATTCAACCTTTCCCCTTTAACCGTATCTTCTTTATTTCTGTAGACGCAAAAAAAATATTTAACTTAATATTGGAGAGATTATTTGTTTCGTGCATCTGAAACATTAGACATTTGATTCTGGATCAACTAGAATTAAATACTCTGTGGAAAGATTTTGCTAAATAAACGTTCGTCTCAGACTTATAATTTAAATCAGTTCAATCTTTTAATTCAGACATTTCAATAAGGAGTTTGTTATTATTTACATTATTATTATGTTCGGAAGGTAATTGTGTTAGAATTATTATAGACTTTGAAATAAAATATATCTGTAAATCGAATAAATGCACTTTATTTCAAGCTTACTGATCAATAACAATTTGCTTATACGAGATTGTTCAAAATTTTAATGCAGTTGTGTTCTCCATTGCCAAATTAACTAATGCTTAATTAACTAATCATAACTGAGTTAACGAAAAGCTTAAATTTTCCTAAGGCGTATGCTTGGCTGTAAATCCCTATTTGATCCATTCAATTAAATCTGTATAGTTGCATTGGCAGGAGTCATTTGAAATCTGTAATTATGTGGTAGTAAGTAGTGAATCATTTATCATTGCTCCCTAACTCTAATTATTTCCCATGGAACTGTCTCCATTTACTTTTATTCCTTAAGTTTATTGAGATTGCGCCGTTGGCTTTTGAAACAGCATATATCTTACAGTCCTCATTGATTCAGCACCTTAGATGTAATTAGCAAATTTATTTGCTTTCTTAGAGTAAAATCTGATAACGCATTTTATTGCTTAATTTCGCCAGATAATTCAAAATACTTAAATCATAATTCATCATATCTCATTCGTTTTCGTTTTCCAAAGTAACATCTGTATCATGAATCTATAATTTTTAGCATCAGAATTTAATTTTGATGCTACGTCATACAACTATAGCCTTACGTTCGTTCAAAATCTTCCTTTTTTAAAATCATTCTTGAAAACATTAATGAAATAAATGGTTTGTTTTGCATGAACGTTTACTAATGAGTTACATGCAACAATAAATTGATGAGAAACATGTTAGTTCGAATTTTAGGATTAGGCAGAGAGTAGGCACAAGTCATAAATCCGCTTAGTTAAATAAAAAAATAATTTAATTTTTTTTTACTAAGCAAAATCAATGATTTTAAAGCGACCAATGGCAACACTGTACGGAAAATAAAATTTTTATCTCCAGCGCACGAGATTGTCTATCTATCGCAAAAATAAATTTAAATATTTCTAGTCTAAAGGAACATTAACCCATATGCTCTCGAAACGTGCACGTGTATGTAAATGAAAAAATACCCCTTTGGGCGTAATATAAAATCTGAAATCTTTCAGATTTTTTTAATATTATATCTGTGTTTTTCTGGAAAATTTCCTTTTAATAATTAATGTTTATCTTTAATTTATATGCAGTACTTTTGCTCTGGTATAATCTATAACCTTTTCAAGGTCATTTTTACTCTAATATTACACAGATATCTAGCTATCCGAAACTCGGATTATTTGTATTACTTGACGATCTTTGTAATCGAATTAAATTATCATTGTTAGTTCATTTTCAGATTTTATTTTTACCCCCAGCTAACATATATATATAGGTAAAAGAGGTATTGCTTTCAGTCCAAAATTTCTCAGTGAATAAGCATGAATTAGAGTTCCTACAATACGTTTTTGCTGATTTTACAGTAATGTTCGTCTATCTGTGGGCATATTTGTGACGATAGTATCTTCCATGGTAACTCATATATCAACTTTTCCAAAATTTATGTATTCCGTGATTACAAAAATTTAATCCAAAGCTTTTCAATTTTAGTATTTAAGACTTTTACATCAATATGAACAACATACTAGATTTCCACTCAACTGATAAACTGAAGTAATACTTTAATTAACGCGCTGAACAATTTTCGAGAAAAAAAAACGTGTTATAGTATAATCCAAAAAGTTTGAATTCTACTACTCAAATCTCCTATATGAATGGGAACAGCATGCTAGATTTTGCTCTTATATGATAAACAGGAAATTGTATTTTACTTCAATCTCAGATAAACAGATTCAAGTAAAATTCGACTCGAAATGAATTTCGTGGAATTTCATGGAACAGAATTTCATGGAAAAATATAGAATAAGTATAATAATAGTTAACTAGACAGGTTTTTCGAATTGTGCCCACAAAAAGCTATCATTTCATTATGTTGGCATGAATTTGCAGTTTTTACCAAAACTAATTTTTATACATGACCAATTATGATATACCTCTTTGAAGTCCCAGGGACTATTTGTTTAAATAAAATGTAACCCAAAATTTCCTATCATAGACTTTGTATCAATCGGAACAACAAATTAGATTTTCTTTGCATTCAATTAACCGGAAATGATATTTTACTTAATTCTGGTTGCTGGCAGGAGGTTATGTGCTGGTCACATCAAAATTTTTTCCTTTCATTTTAATAATATAAAAAGAAAATACTGCGCAGTACACATTTTTAAGAACTCGCTTGACCAGTATAGATTGAAAATATTAAGCATGTAGATTGACTCCAACGTTTGTTAAATACGTAACCTATAAATCTGAATAAGAAGGCAATTACGTGTGCTTATTGATATTTTGTTCTTTGTTTAATTTAGGTTCTATTTTACCAGAAATTAATTTGTGTTATTTAAATTGAAATGGTATGGTAAAACAAGACTGTTAAAATAAATAGAAATAATTCCATTGCATAATTTTGTGAAAAACGTAGTTTGACGTTCTGCATCACATATGGAAGATGCATGACTCACGGTTCCTCCATCACAGTCCGGGGTCGTAATTTCGAACGCTTTCTTTGATGATGATTGTTGTCTGTTTTGTTCTTATTTCTTGGTTTCTGCTGTACTTATCATAATAAACATCTTTTCTCACACCTTGTCCTTCCTTTCTTGCGATTTATGTCTTCACTACCGCGCCAGGGGAGGGAAGCGTTTCCGACCATACACTGCTACATTATTTCCATCGTCTAGGTTTTCTCTGTTTCTCCTGAAAGTTTGTAACCAATTTGATGAAAAACTCTGTATTATATATATATTCTGTTGTGTAAAAGTATGCCTAAATATTCCACAGATTCACGTATATATGAATAAAATAATCGCTTTCATTAATTACATATTCTCATATGCACTGTAGCTGTGTATGTACTAATTCATTTTCTCTCTTTTAGTAATAACTTTGTGGAAAATTCTCCAGTATTACGTATTTAAAATAAATACTGTCTTTATTTGTTACATAAGGGCTCAATAATTTTCCATTTCCTCTGTCAATCTAATTAGAAAGAAACTGTTTTACAGGTATATAAGCTCCATTATTCCAACGGAAAAGCGATCAAGACAAGCACACATTATTAGAATTTAATAATCATACTAGGCAAAATAACCCTTAAGAAGTTAATTAAAAAGGCTTATCTATAGCTCTTCAACTGATAGCTTTCTAAAGGTTAAATCTGCTGTTTGATATTGTCAACCTGCAAAATAGACATCTCACTCAAATACTCCTTTCAAAAGAATATTTTATAATTATTATTATGATGTGAAGCCCTAATTGTATACTGTATTTTGAGTTACCCGTATGTCTTCCGGTTCAGTGTCAAGAGAGCTAGGAGGTAAATATCGATAACAGTTAAAATTATAACGAAGTGGTCAAACTTTATCTGAATATTTGACCCCTTGAAACAGAGAATCTTCTACACTTGTAATTTATTTTATGAAACAATTTTGCCTTTCAAAAGTACAACTAGATTTATTTTTCAATTGATTACACTCCTTGAAAAATGTAGACTTTGTAAAACCGTTCATAAATATAATTTGCATGGTTCTGATCTTTCAGATGTACCTCACAAAAAGCATATGTCCGAAACTCTTAAAAATCCTTGGCTTTTCCGTTCTGATAAAAAGTCCAATTACTTTGCGCTTTGCATATCATACATGATTGTAACAACTATGAACTAAAGGATGTAATAAGTTATTTGTATGTATTCTGCCATAATTGCATGCACATTTTTCTGCATAAAGTTGTGACAAAGCTAATTTTTTATGCCTTTAGTATTGTTTAATATTCTTTCGTAACATTATATTTCATAATCAGTTATACTGCATGTCTTATCATGATTATAGAAAATATACGCTGACAGTTATCGTTTTCTTATAGATGTGTCTTACGAAGACTTCGACCCAGTAGCTCCTAGGTATAGACCACAAAGGATAAACGCTCTCTGTCGACTCACCAATTTTTCCAAATCCGAAATCAAACTCATGTATCAAGGCTTCAAACAAGTAAGTTTTTTTTTTCGCTAAGAGTAATATTTAACTAGAAATATATTTTTACATATGTTTAAACATTAGAAGCATTCTTAATGGTCACTTTTCAATATTTTTAACTGTTACATTAATTACTAATTTGTATATATCAGCCACTCGAGCTGGATAGTGCTGCATTGCTCGAAACATAAAATTCATTTCTCACAGCATTTCAGTTCGAACAAAAGAACTTAAATTAAATCTAGACAAATCAGTAACTGTTTAACAAATTGAGAGATTTAAAAGCAATAAACGAACTTCTTAATAATTCAAATCTTGTTAGTCCAAAGAGGCAATTTGCCCAGACGGGCTATTGATTTCGTTTTGGCATTTTGCGTTGATTCACTATAAACGGCGAATCACTTTTTGAATTATTGCCACCAAATATTAGAGTCCTGTGTTAAAGTAATTAAATGATGAAGAATTTGCATAAATGTATGTATGTTTCTCGCATAATGATAAAATAACGGTACCTAGAGCCATCCAATTTTATGGGCATCTGGAAGCCAAAATTTGGAATTATCGATTTCATATTTTGTAAAACTTGTACTAATTTCTGATTAAGAAATTCAAGGATTTCAAAGCGAGCGATGGCAACGTTGTACAGAAAAAACATTTTTATCTCCAGCGCGTGAGACTGTGTATCGAAAACTATTATTATAGAATGTCTTTTTCATATAGACCGCAATAAAATGCCAAGACTTTTACTTTTTACATATATAATTATACTTATATTTGATCTATCTTCGCAATGAAAATTTTCACAAGAAACCCAGGATGCTTTAATTATTGTGCACAAGAAATTGCGCGGCAAAACATTTTCAACCTTCTTCCTTAAAGCGCAGCAAAGGTCATGTGAAATGACAGAAATATTACTAGAATAGGATTTATCCATTCTAAAAGCCACTTTCTCGGTGGCTATATAGATGTGCACTTACTAAAATATGCGCGCGGGAGACTGTGTGTCGGAAATTCTAAAGATATGCTCATTTTAAAATAATTTACGATATTGCTCTTGAACTGAATTTTATGGTTTAAGTGTGAAGAACATGATATCTAATAAATAAAAGTAACACACAAAGTGTAAAAAAAAAAAAAAAAAAAAAAAAAAAAAAAAAACCGCCCCTTTGGAAGTAATTTAAAATCTGAAATCTTTCAGATTTTTTTTTTTTTTTTTTTAGTTTTTAAATTTGTCTGTAATTGATATAGTTTAAAATATATTTAATTCCGAATACAACCATTGATAGCTTTTACGAATACCTGCAATATTATTTTAATAAACATAAATGCTTCGTAACACCTTATTTTATTTACCGCTGCGTAGAATCATTTGTTTTGCTTTTCTACTTTGTATCAACATTTGCTAAAAATCAAGGTAATCATATTTTATTAAACAAAATTGTAAATAATTGTATTTTGTTAAATGCAATTATATAATTTTCGCTTGTTAATGAACTAAACGCATATTCAAAATGTGGGAGCGACTATTAAATTCTGATTGTACTCTGATTGCGACTGGAATGATAGTGTAGCAATCATCAATACCGATGCGGGAGTAAGGGATTCGCGAATTTATGATGCTGTATTGATATACAGTGCCTCAAATATCCCCTTTTCTGCATCCACTGCTTTGGCATCATTTTTGAAGCTCACAAACCTGCCTATTCTAGCTACAGATCAAACATGATCAAGAATGGATCGTGCCGCTAATCCGGTCGCGGACACTTAGCCGACAAGGACACTTAGCCGACAGGACATTTAGCCGAAACGGACACTTAACCGACAGGTCATTTAGCCGACACGGATAGTTAGCCGACAGGACATTTAGCCGACACGGACAGTTAGCCGGCAGGACATTTAGCCGACACAAAGAGTTAGCCGTCAGGACATTTAGTTACGGGACACTTAAATGTCAAGACTGTCAACACTAAGCCGACAGTGAAGTTTAGCTGATACGTACCCAATAATTATTTAAATTTACAATCAATTACAAAATTTCTCGACTTCTCCATAAGTTCAATATTTAAGTTATTTTTTTACTTATCAGTAAAGTTCAGTTTTCGATTCTTGAAGCTCTCATACGTGCTTTTAATTTTTATTGTGTTAATTTAGCATTGTTTGATATGTATCGTGCTGCTTGGTGTATATTGGCCAAATTGAAAAAGCGCTGAAATTTCTCGTCAGGGAATATGAATTAAATTTCGAAAGGAAAAAAGAATTTTTTTAGCTAAGTACGACGGTCACTGAATTACATTTTAATATGGGATCTTCAAAAATTATTTGTAATGCTTCTTCATTTAATCAACTGGGTTCTTATGAACACTTTTACATGACACACATTTCCCTTGTTTACTTAATGATAATAATTTTTCAATCTCGCTCTTCCAAATGCTTTCAAATTTCTAATACCTTTACGTTTCATTAATATTTTACTCATCACATCATGTTACATTCTTTCCCTTACAAAATCGTTTGGCTCCTCCCACTAATGAAATTTCCTTTCCCTGTCCTATGAAGCGACGCAGTCGCAGATGTAGGTATCCAGCCATTGCCTTACCCTGTATATAGTAAGTGAAATTACTGAGCATTACTTTTTCGGTGCTAGCATTAAGTTCAGGAGATTTGAATGCGAAGCATTCAGATACCAGTTTAGCGAAGTAAGAGGGGATGAGCAATTATATTCGTAGGGAGCAATTATAATTATTTGACAGATACTGTTTAGGCATAACTTGGTTGTACGAATATCGTGCGAGAATCCGCAGTAAAGTGGGATCAATCATTTCGTGTTACGAAGTGCAGTTACTCGAGAGACATCGTAGGCTAGACTGAACTGGCTGCTGTCCTCAGCGTAGTAGGAGTAGACCGTTCTGAAAAATCTGAATAATGCAATAAAAGTTATTGTTATTCTTGAATTATATTTTGTGTAGAAACATATGGTGCGGAGGGTTAGTTTAGCAAATATATTTTATTTTGTTATTAGAAAGAATTAAAAAAAGTGAATTTGTAAGACAAGCAAAGGTATAAATTATTTGTGACCTCTATAATTTACAGTTCATGTCACCATTCTTGAGATAAAAATATTGTGACATTTTATTGACCACGCCTCTCGCTTAAAATACTTACTTAGGTTAATGTTTATTGCCCTAAACTAGTGCATAATGTTTAATTTAGAAGCAAAATGATCTTTAAGGTTTTGTTTTATTCATAACTGAAGCTGCAGAAGGAGGGGCCACAAAGTAGGGGGGAGCAAAGGACACATCATGAAGAGTCACCGCAACGTAGTGCCATCTAGCGATGCTAGATTTAACTATATCTGTCGTGTAAATAGATAATATTATTTACTATGTTTTGAAAGTCGCGATGTGTAATTTCCAATATAATGTTTTTCTCATAAAATATAACTTCTCTCAATATCTGTTAAAAATGTATAAATTTTCATTTCATTTCTCATTAATTTAATTTTTTTCCCTCTTTCATTCCTTCTCTTTCTCTTTTTTGGTTTAGCGGCTACCTTACAGAAGTAAGTTTGGTTTATGTAATTACGGCAAAGCCAGAGGGCTATTTGTCTAAGGGGAGGGATGCCTTCGTGGAGGACTTTCTAAGGAAAACTGCCTCGTATACATGTTACACATGGGAAAAAACCACGAAAACAGCCTGTCTGTTCGCGGGATTCAAATTCGGATTAATCGTTTTTAATAACAAAATAAAATATATTTGCTAAACTAACCCTCACTGCCATATGTTTCTATAAAAAAGTATAATTCAAGAATAACAGTAATTTTTATTGCATTATTCAGATTTTTCATGACAGAGAAAGGAAATTTCATTAGTGGCAGGAGCCAAACGATTTTTAAGGGAAGGAATGTAACACTATGTGATGAGCAAAATAGCAATGTAACGTAAAGATATTAGAAATTTGAAAGTATTTGGAAGAACGAGATTGGAAAACTAATATCATTAAGCAAACAAGAAAAATTATTAATGATGTGAAAGTTGATTAAATGAAGAAGCTTTACGGATAATTTTTGAAGATCCCATATTAGAAAGTAATTCAGTGACCGTCGTAATTAGCTAAAAAGTTCTTTTTCCTTTCGAAATTTAATTCATATTCCCTGAAGAGAAATTTCAGTGCTTTTTCAATTTGGCCAATATACACCAAACAGCACGATACAGATCAAACAATGCTAAATTAACACAATAAAATTAAAAGCACGTAAGAGATCTTCAAGAATCGAAAACTGAATTTTACTGACAAGTGAAAAATATAGCTTACATATTGAACTAATGGAGAAGTCGAGAAATTTTGTAATTGATTGTAAATTTAAATAATCATTCGGTACGCGTCAGCTAAACGTCACTGTCAGCTTAGTGTCCTGTTGACTAAATGTCTTTAAAGTTAACTGCCCCGTAGCTAAGTGCCCTGACGGAGAATTCTGTGTGTCGGCTAAATGTCCTGTCGGCTAAGTGTCCATGTCGGCTAAATATCTTGTCGGCTAACTGCCCGTGTCGGCTAAATGACCTGTCGGCTAAGTGTCCTTGTCGACTAAATGTCCTGTCGGCTGTCCGTGTCGGCTGTGTCCGTGTCGGCTAAAATGTCCTGTCGGCTAACTGGTGTCGGTTGAGTGTCCCGTCGGCTGTGTCACGGACCCCCGCTAATCTTGTCTGTTCATAGTCAGCCCCGAAGCAAGCAACTAACTTGCAATAATTATCAGTCTTATAGTAATTCAATATAAAAATAGAGCCATATTTTTAATATCATTATTAAAGGAACTACATTGTCTACTAACACCTAATTACCATTTAGGGTTCTGCTCATCTAGAAGCTTGTGTTAATATCACATTATGCAGATCCTATTGGACTGCAAGCAAGTTATCATGGTAGTGTGAAACAATGAACAAGTATTAAGAAGGTTAAAATAACATTTTGATTTAAATTTAAATGAAGAGCGACGCATTGCTGGTGTCGCAAATGAACT